ATTACTGACCTCTGTCATCATTTTAAGTGGGGGAACTTGCACAATCGGTGGCTGACTAAATACTTTTTTGCCCCACTGTAAATATATACATATACATATATATCAGATATCAGAACCATCATTGGCTCTTCTGTGATGCAAATGCCCCCTCTTTAAAAAACAAACAAACCCAGAATGGTTTGTTGGCCTAGCATGATGAAACCAGATAATCTTGCACATTGGTTGGGAAACACTGCTTTAATCAATATGGCGAAGAGGACCTTATTTAACATTTAAAGAACATAGGACTGGCTCTGCCTTGATGGTCTTTATTGACATAAAACATTTAGAAAAAAAGCAGTGTAATGAAAGAAAAACAGACGCTGGAAAAATGATCAAATAACAGAAAAAACGTAAAAACTTAGATGACATTTATTGTGAAAATAAGCAAACTAAACAAAAAATACCATAAATAGCATTATTTGGTATTATCCTGTAATAACATATTCTCTGTTTAACATTTTTGTTTTTAATTTTTAAAAATGTATTTGTACTGGACATTTTGGATCAAGACTTAGCACATAAGAAAGAACTAAACAAAGATGAACATGTCTGTGTTATTACACGTGTCAAAATACGGTTGAAAGTAGAAAAAAAGAATATTTTCTGTAATGCAAACCATCTTATAGTTACACTGGATTTGATAACTACAGAATATGACATAAGCAAAGTCATAAAGTATAAACAAATGTTTATTTAGCTCATTTACATGGAGTGAAAGAAATATCTTGAACATAAAAGAATCAAATATAAAAGGATCATCTGAATGACTTCCACACAGAAGAATGTGATTTTGTGTAAAATGAAACACAAAAGACAAGTCAGGTATCTCTGTGTATCTCTGTGACTACACTCAAACACGTGTAATGTCACATTTCTTCTTTAGTATTGCACTGGCAAGTTTTCATATCTTTCTCACATTTGAGTCACGTGGAATAAAAACCTTAAGATTAAAAGTCCCGTTCTGACTTTCTGAGTCATCGTCAATAATTTACATTTACATTTTATCACATTAATTTATGTGACCGCAAATTAAGTAAATGAAAACACAAAGTAGCCTACATGTTCACGTCTATCTTAATTTAAATATTTAAAAAGGAAGTGATCTTTAGTCACACTGTGGGCATAAATATGTATAGATGGGTTACAAATTAAAAGATGGTGGGCAGGTCCAGTTGATTTCGCTTTTGCATGAAGAAGAAAGGAAGCTTTGGTCGCCGAGACTGCTCGACTGGCTGGTGTTTCACAGGGAACAGTGACTAAAGTGACATCTGCATTTAGCCGAGTAGGGAAACAAATCAGTGGGTAGGTTTAAAAACAACAACTGATGGCGCATATTTGATGTGTGTAAACGGAGCGACTCTTCCTCAGGTGACAGAGTGTCAGCGATCTGACGACATCAGCATAACAATCCATCGTCAGCTACACAGACAGGGATGCTGCTGTGGTTTGTATCAAAATGAATGCACAACTTTTTGTGGACAAACCCACTAAAGCACTATTTGTCAGAAACGTGGAAATAAGTGCCGTGGCCGGATGAGTCATCCTTGATCCCATTCTCATGTCTGGCATCAAAAACTGGTACAGGCCTGAATGCTAGAACCCCACAGCGAGGGGATTTAGTTATTTTATGTTGTGACAGGCATTTCAACCCCACGGCTAATGGTCCACTCATCCCTACTTAGAGGGAAATCTTGCTGCAAGCCAGTGCACCACCTTCAATCGCTTAATGAAACATGCCTATCCAGATGTGATTACAATCCCCCTGTCCACAGGACACGAGGGTTCAAAGTCTCGAAATCTCAGCCTGCTCAAACACATATTTTGGACCAATGTGTGACACCTGACACCTGACAACTGGCAGTCAATTAACTTACTAAGATTCATAACTTTGTGTTGGGTTTTCCTGTCATTTCTAACCCATCAGTATATGCCTACATAACGCCTACACCAAACACTGCCTGAAGCTTGTAGCATTTACAAAAATGAAAAATATTAATAAAACAAAGAAGATCAATAAACAATAATTTATATGTATATATTAAAAACAACCTACAAGGCCATTTAAGGCTTTATAAAAGTCCTTAATTGTTCACAAGCACGTTATTCAACCCCCGCCCACTGGGTGGCAGTGTTCCCCAATTTATATAAAACCTGCAGGAAGGTTCACTAAGTTTTACTGACCATCCAGAGCAGACAGTGTTCAGGAGTTATTCACAGAAGGCACGCAGTTCACAGTCAACTTAAAGCTCAAAATTTTAGGCTCCACGTTTTCTTCTGGAGAGCGCTGAAAAGCACCTTACAGTACAGATGGATGCTGCAGGAAGTGTCCGACTCTCCATTTCAACAGTGAAGATGCACAGCCAAAACAGTTTCTGTTATGTTGAGTCCTTAAAGTCCTCACATCTTGTCATTAAAAGGAGAAGCTTTAGATTTTGGTAACCACGTGTTTGTTTTCTAGGTGTGAGTTAGATGGCAAGACAGACTTAAGCCTGCATTAGCCTAGTGCAAAGACTGGAAATGCAGGTAAAAGAGAACTAGACGGACCCAACCAAAAGATGAACAGAAAAAACAACTTTTTTTTTTTTTTTTTTACAGGTCAGCATAACCCAACAAGACAGGGAGAGATTTCCCAAGTAAACCATCTCAATAGTTCTCAGCAAGACAGCAAACAAGAGCATTTCACAGCAAACTGCTTAAAGCATAATGTTCAGATCAGCTGGGTTCACCAGCTCCTATTGCACAGAGAGCCACCGTAATTCAGCTCCAGCATTCAAGTCTTCTTAGCGTTCGAGTTTTGCTGCAGTTTCTGCTTGCGGAGGTGAGCTTCAATCTCGTGCCTGAAGAAGAGCATCCCCAGCTGGCCGTGCGAGGCCTCGTTCATGGCCTTGGACTGCATGCACATGCGGTACTGGTCGGGCGGGAGCTCGTCGGCGCAGTGCTTCTCGTGCCACAGGTGGAACAAGCCTCGCGACGGCGCTCGAACCACCAGAAGGTTGCTGTGGAGGTACTTCCTGTAGAGGTGAACATCTTCGCCGCCCCAGCCTTTGATGTCGATGTCAAAACCTCCTAGGCAGAACAGAAGGAGAGCGTGCGATAGGAAACTTTCTGCATTTTTTTTTACATTTTATTTTATTTTTACAATTTTCTAAACATTTTTTTTAGTTCCAGAGTTTTTGGATGCTGATTATGAAATCTGATTAGAGTTTGTGGTGTGTGATCATAATCACGGCCTTGTTTTGTTGTTTCTTGTGGGGACAGAAAAGACATTTGGACTTTGTGACCAGGCGAGCTTAAACCTGTCACATTAGACGCCAGAACTCCTCGTGCCTGCTTTCAGTTGCACTTTGTACCTCCCTGCAGTTTTATTTTGTTTATGCCGTCTCTCCCTGTCTGCCTTATTTTGTTATTTTGCATTTTTTTGTTTTAAATTCAAGCTGCAGGGGCAAACACAGATAAGACACAACATTTGCACAAATGGATGCATTGTGCTTCTTTCTGAATATGCACTCGTGGCCTAAAAAAACAAAAGGACATCCTTATGATGAAACAAAGAGTGCAAACATGAACCACTAAATTATGCTTTTATAAAGGAATACGTTTGGGGAGACACATAATTTCATTTCACATCAAGAGTTCGGTGAGAAAGGAAACTGTGGACGCTAATTGTGTTTAGCTCTCGCACGTGTTACGTTGTTCCCCGTCTCATTTTAAAGATTCCTTTAGAAATCTGTGATACAAACACAGAAGCAGACCCACTTACCACATTATTTGTTTCTCTTACCCACTTTACAGCTGAGTGGAAATAATTAGGATGTAATTGTTTTTCTCAGTTTGTTGTTGTTGTTTACCCAGATGGAAATCCTCTTTCCCCCATCTCATGCTCTTTGGATTAAAACTGTTTTTTTTTAACAAATGAAATTTGTTTAAAATTTCATTTGTTTTGTAAACTTCATCAGTCTACAAAGACGTTACATGCATTCCTTCTTTTCCTAACAGATTCCTTTTACCGGTAGTTCTCCCTCTGCTGTTACTGCAAATTACTGCAACTTCTGCATGCATGTACATTTACGTTTTAGAAATCCAAAGGGGGAAATGAACACGGCGGACCAGTGTGTCTGTTACACGCTTTGCCTTGATGCGTGTGGTTGGACTGGTTTCATTAACGTGACATTCAGTTCGGTGCCTCCACAGTCACTTGATCTCCATCCAGTCGACTACTTTCAGGACGTGACGGAATGGGAGAGTCCCGTCATGGATGTGCAGCCGAAAAGTCTGCACCAAATGTGTGATGCTATCATGTCAACACGGACCAAAATCTCTGAGGAATGTTTCCAGCACTTTCTTGAATCTGTGCCAGGAAGAAGAAAGGCAGTTCAGATGGAAAAAAGGGTGTCCAACCTGATACTAACAAGGAGTGCCTAATAACATGGCTAACGAGTGTATTTACATCCTTATAATGACAATAATGATGCGACAAACATCGATTTCTGCACCACCATAATGTGAGTAAAGGTCTCATCCTTGCCCCTGCTCTAAAAACGGTCTGGCTCCACCGCTGAATGATTAAACAGCTGGACTCTGTTTATGTAAAATAATCTGCCAACTTGCCATACCTCAATTAAACTTTTTTTTTTTTTTAACTGTATATTTATCTTTATATTGTGTTAGTTAATCATCTCTCAGCAGAGCCAGGCTAGCTGTTCATTCTGTTTCTAATGTCTTCTGTGTTTTTTTCTTTAGATCCCATTTAGTTTTCAGCTCTGGGATCGATACGCGCTCATAAATAAATACATGAAGTGGAATACAACTTGGAACATAAAGTGAGTTAACATTACTATTTCCCCATAATGCCAAACTATCCTTTTACAACACTCCTGGCCTTGGAGCTGTGTTTTACAATTTGGCATAGTTAAGTGAGGACATTTGCATGAATGTGTGTGCATGTGTGTGGGCCCTAAACAATAAAACACTCCGAGTTCCACAGTAGCTTCTAATTGATTTCACTTTGGAGGCAAACTAAATTGATGTAAATCTGTCTACAGAGCCAATATTCCTTGCCAGATATACAGATGGAGAGGACACGGGGCGATGAGATATGCTAATATATGCTGCTGCAGCTCAGAGCTGTTTCACGCAGAGTGATATAATAAAATCTCCTCCCTGTTAAGAAAAGTAATGCAATACTGAACCATTTGGGCCGTGAGGGCTTTTTTTTTTTTTTTTTTTTTTTTTTTTTTACATCCATTAAGCGGTGGCGCCGTTAAGAGTGGCAAAGTGCACATTTTCAGAGCCGTCCAGGAGGACCATTTTCGCCCTGCGTTACGTAACACCTGCACACTGATAATCAGCCCCCAGGAGCAACTGTTTACCAATTCCTTCGCTGCAAAGATGCGCCGATGGGCACGATGCCCGTGTCAGGATTGTAAATAACCGTGCTATTTACCGATGTTGAGGAAGTCGGACCTGTACTGGCAGGTCATGCCGAAACCGAAATCCCTCCAGAAGCCCGTGTCTTTCTTGATCACCTACAGGAGGAAATAAGCGAGTGTTAAACAGCTTGTGGAAAGAAATACCAGTCCAACACACAGGATTTGTCCACTTATAGCAACTGGAGAGGTGAAGTGTTTTTAAACTGTTCTGCAATGCAGCGCCACGCTGAGTGTGGTATTTTCCACAAGTGCGTGGCAGGGTTTGAAAAAGGGACGAGAAGAAGGTGTGTGCATGTGTGTCTGTGTGTGTGTTACCAGCTGTTGTTCTACTGCTGGGATACGATCGGGACTTCCATAGATCACAGTGGGGTTGTACTGGCTGAATAACACCGGGTAGAAGACCTTTTTACCTGAGATGCAGAAAAAAAGAACTGTTAGATGAATCAGCTGTAATCTGATGGGAATGTGTGCATTATTATTACACAATAGAAAATAAGAAGAAAACTTAACAGGCCCACTCAACTCAGGCTGAGATAACTGAAAATCCAATTATAAAAATCTGTCACCAGGGTTGTTACAAATACCCAGAGTTGGCATTTTGTCTTGTCATTAAAGTGTTTTGCATGCCTCATGGGAGTTTACAGCAGTCATCTCACCAGGCTGTGCGTTGAGTCGGCAGGTGTTGAGGAAGTCGGCGGTGAAGTAGATGTCCACGTCGCAGAAGAAGAGTAACACGTTGCCTCCCTTCCAAGCTCGGGCGCCGATGTCCAGACCCCGCCCCCGAGAGAACTCCTCGTCCAGCTGCATCAGCGTGTAGTTCTTAAAATTTGCTTCCCTTTAGAAAGGCAAAGAGAAGTAGTTTGGGTAGTTTACCCAACTTTAGAAGCACTTTAGAAGCTAGAAAAAAGTCTCACAATTTAACGAATTAATAGGAAAAAAAGTTGAATTCCAGTGAAATAACAAACAGCATGGTGTTATCTGCAAGCACTGCTGTTTATTTTGCCTACAAAAATCATATCAAGCAGCAGACTCAATAAGAGAGGTTAAGAAGAAAGTGCAGGCAGGGTGGAGTGGGCAGACATGAATGTCAGGAGTGAATTGCAACAGAAGGAAAGCAGCAAGAGTGAAAAGGAAGGTTTACAAGATGGTAGTGAGACCTGCTGTAGACGGAGGCACCGACACAAAGAAGAGTCTACAAAAATCATATTCAGTCAACTTTGCTCGCTTCACATTTTGTCCCCAGTTATCCTCATGCCACAATTTACCCACTACAGAAGCAGAACTTACTTCTCTTATTGATTGCACTCAAATAAATAAAGTTTTTAATGATTTCATCTGAACAAATGTAGTTTATGAGCATCTGTAATCACTCATCTGCCTGCTTGCCTGGATGTTGGGCTGCGAGTCTATTTTTCAAGTCACTTTCCCACGCCATCAAACTCAGTGCTGACATCATCGCATCATTCATGCAACCAGCTTCCTCCCCATCACTGCTTCACCCCGGTAACAGAGCTCCATCCAAGCCTCCATCTTCATCTTCACCACTAGTGTCTAGATTCGGGTGGGTCCTGTTATTATTCCTGTCACCTCCGACAAGCCGTTCTCCCACGATGGGTCATCGGAGTCTAATCACTAATCAGCTTAATTAAATCCCACATCTCAATAAGTCATGTTCAATTCTTCCAAATGCTCTCCCCTTATATCGAAATGAAACTGTTCTTGCGGCATAATTTGAAGGCCATCTTTTCTATCCGTTCTCTTAATCGCTTCTCTGGTTCAGGTCCGGTCACCAGTCTGATGCAGGCTAACATATAGAGACATAAAATCTTTCACACCTGCAGCTAATTTAAAATCACCAGTTATCCCAACATGCATGTCTTTGCACAATGAGGGGACGCCGGAGTACCCAATGCAAATCCGTGAAAGGTGCAGTAGAACAGAAAGGCCACAGCCGGCCAGTGGATTTAGAGACAGGAGTTACTTGCTGTGAGGTGAGGCTGCACTACTACCACTGCAGTGTTGTCAGACATTTTCTATACATTATTATATAACATACGGCAGATCTTTCCTATATTTGCAGATTCTGTGCTCCATATATGACTCTGTTTTATCTACATACCACATATTAAGCATTAATTGCCGTATTTATGCTGCTGAATAAATTCTAGCTGTAATCTCGGCTGTAGGGCTCTGCTGTTGATTGAGTAATTTTTCTAGCACACTTTAATTTCCCCTCACAAAACATTACTGCGCTGCAACTGTGTTTCTAATTTATGATTTCTACTTAGCTGAATTGTGTTTAAATCTTACTTGGTGGTAATGAACTTTGGTAATGGTGATTTGACTGTTTGATATGCAGCCACTTTAACACTGAAATATAGCGCAGCTCCCACATTTTTCACAAATCTTGAGAGCTCATCTCGCTGAAGGGCCCTGCGCCACAATTCAGCTTAACCAACTTTAGAATTTCTAATCCTCTGATTTCTGCTTTTTGAACGTTCCACCCAAAGATTAAACACGATGACGCACAAAAGTGCACATCAGCTCAAATTCCCACTCTTTTTACTCCGCTTCATGGGAAACTCAGCTGGTTCTGTCACTGGCCACTGAGTTGTTCAAGGCTGAAGCACGAGTAAAGAGAAACAGCTGGATCCAGATGTACACAGCTGTGGCTTTTCCTTAAGCATAACAATTTACACTGTTTGTGACTAATCCGTTCCTCATGCATGCGCATTCACAGACTCAGACAAAAACACACACACACACACACACAACTGCATGGGCTTTGAATAAAGGATGAATAAGAAAGAAAAAAAAAAACAGTTCTCATATCTTAGTGTGAAGCAGAACAAACTGCATCCATCACCCTCCTTCATCCATGCGATGCTGGGAAACACGCGGGAAAGAAAGAAAGCGCGCCGGGGCAGACGCACTCAGCTCTGTCAAGGAAAATCTGGATGACCAGAAGAAACATTTGGCCTGAGGTGGTTTGAATCATACTCCCCACATTTCCAAATCCCCGCTGTGCGAGTGTGTCACGTTTGCAACAATGTTCAGTGTGTGAAATTGATTCATGTATAATGCTGTGTAAAGCTTTTGTCTCGTTCCCTTCCGTTCAGCCTCCCCCATAAATAAGGCATTATGAAACCCTCTGGTCCCCAATGGCTCTAAATTCTAAAGAAACAAAAACATGACACCAGTAATGAGACTATTTTATATAGTCTGAAAAACCACTTCTGCCTGTCATTAAAAGAAACAGACAATAAAAAAAAGCTTTCACATCCCAGAACTATCATAACTTTAGAAAATCTGCGAAATTTTCCATACACAGGTAGAAATATCTGGATATCTGTACTAACCTGCCCGCTCTGTGCTGTCAGTGCACAGAGCCTGGCCTCCACATCTACATCTCGAGTCTATAAACTCAAGCCGAGTCAGTCTGTTTCACTGTCTACACACAAGAGTCCCCGCGGACCCACCCGCTGGCACTAAACTGTCCACAGATGGCAGAGACGGAGAACAATAGCTCTGTTTGTCTTAAACAATGTTAACGCAACAGGAGCTTTATTCACATGTTGACTCAGGCTTTACTTTAATGGGAGACGAGCTTCCCATCGGCTCAGTCAGCAAATACATCATGATTTCTCGCAAACAAACCAGAACGCACAGTAACGTCGAGAATTTATGTGAAGTTGCCGGACGTCCTTCTGCTCTTTGTTTCTGTGTCTTTAGTTTTAAAGCTGTAGTTTATCCCTGTTTGCTGGGAAATCCACTCAGAATAACTAAAGTCATTTTCGCATTGAAGATTTTAAAAGAATGAAACAAAAACTGGGATCATCATTTCAGAATGAACAAACAATACAGAAGGCGTGAACATTATAGATACCATTTTTAAGGACGTTTGGACAGAGACGTGGAGCTAGACGTTTTCCCCAGTTTCCAGTATTTATGCCAAGCTAAGCTAAACTACTGTGAGGACTTGTAAAGTTAGTGGTACCACTAACTATATACCTGCTACCAAGAAGATGTCAGATGCCCGACTATTTCTTTAAAACTGATTTTAGATGTCAGATTGTTGGCTCCATTGGTGTAGTGGTTGACACTTTGGTTGTACATGTGAAAGGTCCCTTGTTAGAGACTGGAAGGAGACACAAACCCAGCATTAGTGGGCCACAAGCTAGTTCACTTCTACTGCTGGTCCCAAGCCCAGATGAAAACGGGAGCGCTGCATCTGGAAAATCTGTGCCAAATCAAACATGCGGATCCATCCCTTGGGAGATTAAGGAGCAGCTTAAAATACGCCTAAAATAACTTTTACTTTTGGACAGAGCCAGGCTAACTCGCCCTTGTTTCCAGTCTTTATGCTAATCTAGCTGCTTAGTGTGTTTAATATTTACAGAGACATTTAGCTTAGTCAGAATATCCTGATTACTAATATTATTCAGGAACAAAATGCTACCCTCTCCAGTTGTTTCCAGGAGTTTGTCTCTTGCTCAATCCTATAAGCATGCGGTATAAGTGTTCCTTCTGGTCCGCGAGTGGGTGGTGCTTTTAAAAATATTTCCACAATCAAGCACATGGTAGAGGTATGTTTGTGGGCGGGGGGATAACTGACTTGATTGCATTTCCTTTTCTGGAGTGACTGACAAAAAGCTTGGATGAGGCAGCCTGTGAGGGCCTTTCAACGGGGAATTTGAGTTAATTTATTTGTAATATAATCAACGTTATTGTCTTGTAATTTGATACTGGAGTAAGCGGTTTATTTTCAAGGCATTTTGCTGTTCATTATCTTGTTTTAATCAGTTGTGATTATCATGGCTTGTTCTTTGGTTCATTTTAATAACAGTTCATCCAGGGATACACTTTTACTGGCTAAGTAAGTGTGTGTGCGTGTTTTATAAAAATCTTGTCATGCATATTTTATTTAATATTAGACATCAAGAGTTTGTATATTGAATGAGTGCCATTACTTAACATACCACTGCTAAAATGCTTCCTGGCTCGAATAGGAAAAGATGAAGCTGACAATAAAGCGGTTTTCTAGGCTTGCAAAGCAGTGGGTGATGCCGCCGCCTGCTACGTCGCTCTTAATACAGAATCTAAGCTTTGCTTCAAGTGATTTTCCTCTCTGAATAATGCTTCCACACATTTATGTGTATTTGTGTCTCATGACTGCAAGTCCGGAAATATGAGCATAGACCCCACATTTGTGTGTCAACTTAATCCAGAAATAAAATCTTGTTTTCTAAATTACTTTTTATATCTGCTCTTTTTCTCCCTTCCTACCCACAGGCATCAGCCTCCTCCTCCCAACACACACACTTTTATGATCTAAAATAGTCAATTTGTTTACTGTAGGCGTGATGGTACCTAATGGTACTTAGTAGGAGTGAAATTGTTGAAATTGTGTCAGATTGAGTGAGTCTGTAAAGAGCTTCCCTGTTGTGTCTAAGCAGCAGGTCTGATCCTGTTAGTTCTGCTCAGTCAGGACATGGAGGGGAGGACTGACTGCAAATATGGTGCATCTAATATGAGGCCATATACACATTTCTCTTCATTTTCAACACTTCTTGAAGATATCACAGAAGCAAGCTTGCAATTTAGTCATGCGGTATGTCTGAATGATTTGCCAAAGTGTAACCCCATTTCTTTGGACTATGGGAGGAAGCCAGAGTAATCAGAAGGAATCCATAAAGAATATACGCAGACTGGATTAGAATCCAGGACTAACCAAAGTTGGCACCCTATTTAATATTACATCAGGCTGACAAATAAACAGCCTAATCAAAATAAATAGCTAGTGCTAGTCAATCTGTTAGCTGTGACGCTGTTAGC